AGAGGACAATTGGTTAGAGATGTTAGATCTGTAATAATCAAGAACCGCTGAAAGAAAAACTCACCTTGTGCTTCTCTATTGTAGCTTTGTCTTTCTGAGCCGTGCAGAAGTCTAAACACACGCCCAGCATGACCAGGGTAGTGGGGCTCTGGTCCAGACTCAACAGTGTGCTGATGTACTGATCAACCAGTCCAGGGTTCTGTCAAAGACAACACAATGTCACACCAATCCAGCATTCCTGGGCTTCAGCTCTCAAATCACTATTATTAGATGTTTAGAACAGGTCAAGTTTAGGTTCTACGTGTGGTCTGATATCGCATAAGTCTCATTGTGTCTTATAGCAGTAATGGTTTCTGACCCAGCACAAGATTTTAAGAAAAGTCTAAAGCCCCATCCGGACAGGATCAATATTTCAGAGGGAGCTGCGCAACAAAACAAGTTGTCGTATTATTTAGATTTTTCAAAGATGACTCAAATGCTTCAAAGCTTCAAACATTGCCATAACAGCGTATTCTAAAACGCCCAAGACAAAAGGAATAATAATGAGCATTAAAAGGAATAATAATGAGCATTATTCACTATAGATCAACATGAACTGTTATGAGTTAAACTCAGAGGGATAGCGCTGTTCGTTGTGTGTAGAAGTGTGTGTGTGTGTGTGTGTGTGTGTGTGTGTGTGTGTTGTGAAGCGCAGTCAAGGGCACCGAAACCCAGCGGAGGAGATCGATAGTCTCAACAAAGCCAGGTCTGTATTTTGTATACTGGTATCGGCAGCAGTCTATTTATTTATAGGCCTACATATGAGCAAATTTGTTTTTATGGGCTATTGCTGAATTTACTCACTTCCTTCCAGAGGTGACTGAGATTCTTGAGGCTCGATTTCTGAGCCGTGGTCTTGGCTCCACCCACCACCTCAGCTACAAGAAGGCTCTGGACCTCCACCTACAAGAGAGGACAACAGACCACAAGGTGATACCTGCAACATCCAGACTGTATCACTGGGTACAAGTAGGTATTTCAGAAGACTCTTTTCTTACTGACCATTTTCTTCCAGATAGGTCCTTTTTTCTCTGGGGCAGAAAACACCCTGGGGACTAAAAGGCAGGTCCAAGACAAGCCGATGAAAGCAGCAGAGCCGGTGCTTTTGCTGCAAGTATAATAAGGAGATCATAAGAGGAAGACAACCATGGTAATAGTAAACCAAAGAGGGGTTCCTAGACACACTCCTCTATCGTTTCTGCTGATTTCATTAGTTAATCATGTTTCTTATTGAATAAAAACTTCTAATTTTCATTGAAAAACAAATTATGATGATGTGAATTTTGCAGTGATCGGTACGAACCAAAGATGTTTTCTTAAGTCTGTATATGATGTGCAGGTCAGGACTGCAGCATGATCATTGTTTGATTTAAAATGGTATTTTGACAACATTTAGACTTTAACAAATCAATTTTAAAATTGGATTAATTGTGCAGCCCTAATGCAAACTTTGTTAAAGTGTAGTTTAGTGTTTCTGCTGACTGCACTCACATCACTGTAACTGTGCATGCTACCCTTTATGATTCTTGCTCACCCTGCCTCTCAAACAGAAACATTAAAGTTGTCTAATGCTGACAGTGCTTTGATGATGCATCCAGTGTCTTTTCCTCTGTAAAAGTAGGAATTTATTAGGGATGCAACAACAAACGTCATGGATAAAAAACAGCGATAAAAAGTTCAGAGCCGTACCTGGGCTCTCCATTCTTGCTGATGACGCCACTGTTCAACAGGCAGTGGAGGAGGCTGGTCACCAGGATGTCCGGCTGACTCTCAGCCAGCTGGCCAATAACAGAGAGGAGCTCCCTGCGTGATGCAGCATCCCTGATAAGCACACACACACATCCATGTAAACACACAGGACATACACTCACTCCTGCAATTAAATCCTACCACCATGAATGTTTGAAAATCTGTTTTAGAGAGAGGTGTTGATTCAACTATGTGATCATTTCGGAAGCTGTTTCTTGTGCTGTTGAGCTGTATTGCGTTAAACTGACAGGTAGTTCTATGAATTTGTTTCCTGCTTTGGGTGCATTTATCCGTGTGGTTTTCTCGTGGCTGACAGTCATTACATAGTAACCCACCGATATCTGTACGGAGTGAGACAGAACAGCTTGCATAATCCTTTCACAGCAGGCTCTGGTAACTCTAAAAAAAGAAGAGGAAGAAAAGAGTTATTTTAAAGACACATTTGTGTTGGTTATAGCACCTATTTTAATCATATTGTAGAAAACTAAACAACACGAAATCCCTCACCTTTGTCTTTTATACATCGTTTCAGCTCTCCGAATATCTCCTTGCGCTCTTTCACACTGGCTGTGGTCACATTTGCGGCAAATTTCTTCAGTGTGTCTGAAACCTGAAGTAAAAGTCACATTTAGTATGAAGACCAATGCAGTAAATGGCAGCAGTGAAGCAGTCAGTCCGACAACAAGATTTTGATGATCGCATGGGACAGGAAGGGGCGGCTTCTCTTTACATTTTAGCATCTGGACCTCGGGAATACTGGTCTTTTTTAATTGAGGAACGTGGCTGCTTGGCAGAAAAGTGGCACGTTTATTTTCTGTTGATCGACTAAATTAATTAATTGTCTCAGCTCTAGTTACACGTTTGTCAATTGATATTTGAGACCTTGCTGCTAAGATGTGTCAATTGAATGATGTTTATTATCGAGGTTGTAGTTTGCAGTGATGGTGTACTGAACAATAATATATTGAGATGTGTTTCTAATTTTTAGACTAAACAATGTAATTAACGCCTCTGGGCAGACCAGTTGTGTTGGATTGACTTAGATTGAATATGTGTACCTAATAAAGTGGCACTTTTAGGGTTTTGTCTGTACGTGGGAATGAGATTCAGAGAAATGAGAGAGAAATGGAGGAAATGTTTCTTTGTGAAACTTCTATGCAAAAATAAATGGCAGTTAACTCCGAAGGCCTTGTTTTTAAATAGATTCGTGGTCGACAAGGGAATTGCCAGCACAGCTAATAATACTACCACTGAGTCAGCAGACTGTGGAATGTAGTCAGTAGTCACAACATATCAGTTAACTAATCAAAGTTACAATTTACCAATTTCAAGGGCGCAACGTATGCTCGTCTGCCTAATTTAGGGAATCCAGACCGATTCAATTTAATGACAGTAAATTTAACACCCCGGTGAGTTGGATTACAAGACGAAACCATCCTCAAAAAAAGCTCCAGCTAACGTACCACTGCGGACAGAAAGCAGCTCGGTTTTCTGTCTGGTTATCGTCAGCAGCAGCTCAGTCACACTGTAGGCTACGTAGCACTGAGCTAACAGCCTGCTCGCGAGCTGTTGTTGAATTTAACCCGAGTTTCTCGTTCAATGCCAAAACACAACAATGTGTTAATAAAGCAGTGGTCAACATACCCCGAGGTTGGTTAATATCATACTTGAATAGCCTTGCGTTAGCGGATAGGGTCCTGTTAAAAAACAGCCACACAAACCTGCGTGTCCGCTGCCATCTTGCCGGTCTTGATGCAGGAAGAACTTGTTGGTTTCACTTCCGGGTCACAAGTGCTTCGTAACTTTTTTTCCTCTTAATCAATATTTTTAAGATTATCCTTTTATATATTTTTTTTACATGAAATCGAATAATGAAACACTTAAAATACATTCAAATAAAAACTGAATAAAACAGCAAAATAGAAAAAGGGGCTCAAATTTGCTGGGGAGAACCATAGTGTGTGTTATTAAACAGGTTTATTAAGGTACTTTTTTGTTTTGTTTTTTACCGATATCCCTCTACTCCCAATAGGTGGGCTTAAAATCATTTTTGTTCTTTTGATGATTTTTGATTCCTTCAAGCAGTATGCAATAGATTGCAATCGATTGTAGATAGATAGATACTGTATTTCAACGGCACCACAAACCACAAAATGTGTTAAAAGTTCTCTGCATTTGACCCATCGCTAACCACGGTCGCCCAATAAAATAAATATTTTATTATATAACACAAAGTTGTGTTCATGAAAATAGCTTTGTTCCACGAGATAGTGCTGCGTAAAGTGAAGCTGGAAGCAAATATCCTCTTTGCATAATAGTGTCAAGATATCATAAAATATGTTAATTGGTGATTTTTGTTTGGACGTGGTCAGAAATATCCTGAACACATACATATCAGTAAGTCAGATATTATTCATTTCATTATCTTTCCAGCAACCCTCAAATCAAAGAATAAAGACAATTTAGTTGTATTTTCCCTTTAACTCACGAGATGTTTTATACTTAATGTTAATATAATTAATTTAATCTTATTTACACAAATGCAATTTGTATATATACGCTTAGATTACATCCTATTTTGGAAACCGGATGTTGTTTTACGGTAATCTTTCACCCTTATTTGACATCTTATTTTGAAAACCGGATGTTGTCTCACGTTAATCTTTCCGATAATTTTGCAAAGTCCTTCGCTCGCTTCCGATCTGTCCCGTTTGAATGCGTTTACCGTAAATTTCAGCATATAGGCGCACTTGGTTGACCACGGAGATCCGAGTGTCTGCTGACTTGACCGGTCTTTTCCACTAATTGAAACTAGTTACAAGAAAAGCAGAGCTCTGTGGGCTCTCCACATAAACATGGACACTGTTGTTGAAATCGAATATTTTTTTTAAGTTATAAATGCAATTTTTAAACCACAAACATAACTCATCTCCAATATATTGGTGTGGAAGCAGAAATTTCGGCGACAGTTATCTGCAAATATTGGACAAAGATATCCAAAATCATCTGCATAGACAGAAAATCTGGTTCTTTTTTGTATTTCAGCAAACTATCTCTTTGATTTTGCTGGTTAGACCAGGGCCTGTTAAATGTCTTGTCTGGTTAAATGGCTACATACAAGTCAACTGTTTAAACTCATTACACAATATTCCTTTAAGGTGGAATTTTTTCCCCCTCCGTTATGCAAGTTTTTCTGAAGTAAAAACATTGGACAGCAGGGGTCACTGTTTATTCTGATAATCTTTACTACATGGCTTGGCTATTAGTTTGTATCGAGCCAACATTTGTGCAAAATAATATAATAAAACATTTTAATGATACAGACAACCTTTCAATTTTGACTGATGAAATTTCATGTGGCAATACATCAGTTCATTCTTTCCAATTTGAAGCAATCGGAAGCCGCATATATTCACCAAGTTTAACATCTGTTCTGTTTCCTCTGTCTTCTTGCACTCACGGTTGACTCTACTTATCGACTGAATCGTTGGTGAAAAGGATTCTGTCTTCAGTTCAGAGACCACTGATGGCAGCTTTCTGTTCCTCTGAGTTGTGCTCTTGAACGGAAACAGCTGTGTACAAACATACAAATACAAAAGTAGCAGCCTGATAATATTTGCATAAAAATATTAGCAATTCACGGGGTGGAGGAGAACTTCTTAATTAGATCTAATTTTAAGATCTACGATTTGTGTGTTCTCCCATTGTGGGCCTTACAGAGACATTACCATTGAAAAGTTAATTTAAAAAGCAACAAAGCAGCCGAGCAATCATTGGTACCATATCAATTGAAGACTAATGAAGAGTGGGACCGATACTCCCATAAATATCTTTAAACACAGAAATAACACAGAATGAGCAGTTCAGGCGAGATGCTAGAGTCCCACAGTTTGCACTCCTTTTTTTCCCTTTTGTCCACTTCACCTTTCACCCGCAGAGGAGCTACTATGCTCCTGTGCTATTAACAATGGCATAGATTATAAGTCCGAGAATGATGAGTGCCGCTGCCACTCCGATGCCAATAAACACCACTTTCATCTTCTTGTTCTCCCATCTTTTCTGTTGCTTCACCTTTTCGGTTCTCTTCTCAAAAACTACAGCCTGGAAAGAAAACACACACACACACACACACACAAAATAAAAAATGTTACATTACGTTGTTGTGTAACTGAACTGCTGTTAAATGTCTGATATTATTGAACATATGGAACATATGACAAGATGGGATGGATTTATTCTCCCAAAGCCGGCACACTAACTTCTATAAAACTATCAAAGCCTAAGAAAACATATCCAATTTAGAAAACTTATTTTGTAAATTTTCACTCGTTTCCCTACTTTCTCTTTCTCAAAGTGGTTATATTCAATGTGTTTGTATTAACAATAGATTACATGACTACTATGATCCGTCTCGGGGTCAACAAGCAGGTTGGCCAGTGTTACATCATACTGATGAGCATTTATCAGAGAACTAAAGGAGTAAACTGGGATTTTAGTCGTACACACTTTGTGATAACAAAGAGCAGTCTATATTTTTACATCAACAATGGATGAAATGACTACATGTTATATGGAAGAGGGAGCCGCAAAGAGTTGTCTCTCACATTGCTCCATTGGCCTACATCACACTGTTGAGCGTTGTATCAGAGAACTAAAAAAGCAAACGGGTAGGCGACTAAAACTTAAGCTCCATGAGGCCTTTGGATACACTTTGTTATAACATGGATTAGGAACAGACAAACTAGGAAAGCAGCTCTCTGAAAACCTCCGCATTTTGGCACCATGATAAAACGTAAATTGGCACCAATCAAATGACTGCATGTAATGTGAAAGGGGTCCCTCGTAACGACATACCTGACTCTGCAGTTCCTCTCAACTCTGCTAAGCACTTTAGCGTCTTTCAGCGCATTGTTTTGCATTACGGCCCACATTTTACTGTTTTGTTTCAGCATTGTTGTTTTGTTAAAATCACATTGTACACTACCCGCCCAGCACACAAGAGTTGTTTAAGCAACTGCTTACTAAAAACATTATCACACAAACTTAAAGGTGATTATAGAGGGTGTCAGTGTATAGAGCTTGTTTCTGCTGCCAATAAGGGTTGGGCATGCACATTTGATAGTTGCTTGCAACTGCTATAGAAAAGTACACGTGCACACATACATACACGCCCACTCGTTACTGTATCAACTTTGCCAGCAACGTCACGTATCAATTATGTCTGAAGAAATAGCTCATGGGATGTATAAAGACAGTATACCCAAGACGCAACATTAGCATTCGTGTTTTGGAGTCACGTTTCTGGCCTGTCTGTTTGATGATGGGCAGGTAAAATAGCGTGAGTCACAGCAGTGAGAGGGAACCAGGTTGCAGCCTGTAACACCAAAACAATGATCTGAAAGACGCTAAAACGCGGATGATGATGCTCTGTGTGTTTGTCAATATGAGTGACCCCTTTCACGTCACACATAGTCATTTGATCCATTGTTAAAATAAAAATATTGACTGCAAAAGCATTAAGTTTGATCCCTATGAACTAAGAAACCATGTTATCACAAAGTGTATCCAAGTGGTGCTTGAACATAAATTTCAGTTGTCTGGCTGTTCGCTTTTTTTTAGTTCTCTGCTGTAACACTGGCCGACAGGGCAATGTGGGAACGATGTGACCCGCATGTCGACCCCCGGACGGACATGCGCCTCGTGGCATGTCCTGGACTCACTCTGTCGTACCCAGGGAGACCAGCTCGCTTCATTCATCTTAGGAAACAATAGGAAATGCCTTTCTAAAAATAGCACCATAAAACACAATCAGGATGTAAATTGTACATTTGTTTTCCTCTCCAGCTCCACCTGAGGTGTATTTATAGACATCAATATGACATTTCCTAGTTTTAAATCCCTGGACGCCTGAGGGCCATTTGCTGCAGACTTAGTAGAACAAAATAGTGTGATGTGATTTTTCTCTGACCACCCCCCCTCCTTACTTTTGACAGCAGGTGTTCAGCCCTTTCCTCCAGGTCGCCCATTTTCTCAGTTCTCTCATCGGCTTTGTTCATGTTTTCCAGCATGATGCCCTTCACCTCCTCCACGTCCTCCTGGGCCTGCTGCAGGCGGTTCTTCCCATTCTCCTGTCCAATCAACACACACACACAACATGATTAAAGAGTGAGGAAGACATAATGCACATTCAGTAATTTGGGACTTTTTTTGAAGGGATTTATGTGCTTGCATCGTTTAAACTTCCTGTGGTGAAAGAACGGTGGATATGGGTACTATCTGCTTGTAAGCAGCCAGTGGCAGCTATTTGTTTCTTGGCAATAATCCTTATTGACTTTGAATGCCCTCATTGTAAGTTGATTTGGAAGGAATGCAAATAGCTCTAATGTAGCCGCAATATTTTAGTCCTCCTGATCTTTAGAAAGGTTTTTCTGCACATTGCCACCACAGTGTCAAGCATAAAGATCTTTCTACTTGTCATCGGGAGTACTACTCAGCCAGTCAAACAGTTGTTTATTGTTCTCTGTGGCTCTGGAGGGAGTTTTGTCAAATCCCAGAAAACAACCCCTGATGATGTCATCAGGCGTGGGTATTTAGCCTGCAGGGCGAGTTTAATGGAAATATGCTGTTGGTTGCATTATGGGAAATGTAGGATCCAGAGCTTTATACATATTAGCGACCAAGTGGTCAATAGCAGTGCTGACGGTTAAAGTACAAGTGTTGTTTGTTTTTTCCTAATCAGTTTTGTCATTTTTGTTTCAGCTCCTTTCAAAATAAGGATATTAAATCAGTAATTACCTCATGTTTCTTGTAAGCACAATTTTCAAACAAACTAAAATGAAAAAGTCAAAGTCAAATCTTGCAGCATGTTGTCCAGACCGGCTGTAAACTGAACCTGATGTAGATCGGACTGGCTTGCTGTTTTATAAACACGGGCAACAGTCACGCAGTGAATTTGAGCAGAACAACACATCCTGCTGTGACATGCTTGTGCAAGTAGATTGAAGCAAGCAAGACTACATTCATCGATAACTGAAATAAGTATTGTTAAAGTATAAAGTGGAGCATAATCATTATTAAAAGCAACTTTCCCCAGCTATGACACTTGATGCTAAAAGTGAAAACAGGAGCATATTATGAGATATGAAACCAAGTATGGCAGACTTCCCTAGATCACGAAAAACACATTACTGCAGCAGCTGTGTAACACTATCCTCCTCCATGTCTGCTCGGAGGGGAAAAGGCAGCAGCACCAGAGGGCAGAACAGCAACAACAGGGCAACGACACACTGATAAGAACCCTGGGGCAGGATATTTAGAGAGTAGTTTGACCTCAAAGCAGTTTGTATCCTGACAGGTTTCTCCTTCACCCCTGCCCCCTCAGCCTTGAGAGGAAGCCAGCATCTCAGAAGTTGACAAGAGCAGGAAACCAACAGGAAACCAACAAAACATGTACACTCTGTGCATCTTGATTTGGTTCAAAATCATTTCCTGTTGAAGCTTACTGTACACATACAAATTCACTGTTGGCTAAGAATAGTAAGCTTCATATCAGTGACTGATGGAAACAGATTAATGGATGCCCTCAAAGCCCAGTTATGTCACCTCAGGCCCACCAAATAGCAGTTGAACAATAGTCTGCGTTTAAAATTCAGCCGCCAACGTATTAACACAGGAACTGCTGCCCACTGCAGTTCCCCTCCTTGCTTCCTTCCTTCCCTCACTCCCTCCTAACTGCAGTAATGTACCTGGCATAATCTCAGGGAAACCACACCCACATCAGGTTATGGCATGTTGACGATAGTGTCCTCCATCCTATTTGAACAGTGAGACATTGCTTCCTTGTGAGCTCATAATATTAATCTTGTGTTGAGTTCATATTTAATGAGGGCATGTATGAAGGTTATTGGAATGTAACCCGATTAATTCTTAATTCATGACTTAATGAACTGGCTTCTGATCCTGACAAGACATGAAATGTAAGGGAGTTTCGAGAAGAGATACTCTTTTATATTTACATTTATTTTATTTTAGTAATTCTATATCTTTCACCTCACTTTACCGCTTAAATTCAATAGATTCAAGGAGTTTATTGTCACTCCAATTTGGGAAATGCTTTCGCTGGGGAGGCTCCATGAAAGAAATAAAATGACTAGTAAATATAAAAGGATATGTAAAACATTATACAATAAATATAATAACAAAAATATAAGCATCAAAAATACCCATCAGAGAAAAAAAAACATAATTCAAATATCAACCTGACTTCATTAAATTAACTCACTCGATCAAAACACTGTTAAGACAATCAGCATATGTGCTTTATGAATGCACGTTTTCATTTTTTTGCATTTATTTATGTGTATTCATTTAGTTAAGATTCACCTCAATGTATTTCTACCCGACACCAACCTCACGTGTTTCCAACCAAATAAAACAAGCATTTTGAACCTCAGTTATTTATCTTCTATTATGATATTGTAAATAAGACATTACAGCTGAGAGCAGCTAAGTTACCGTTTATAAAAGGTCATAGTATACATTTTGTTTACAAAGCATTTTTCCTAAACAAAGCTCCCTGTCTTCTCCCTGCGCTCTTATCGAAGCTGTTATCCATTATAACAAAGCTGGTTAACCTACAGCCCTCTCTGTATGGACTTACCATTGCTGTCGCGTCTCTTGCTGTTTCTGTGTCGAGGCTGTCACCGGATCTAAATGCACTCAGGTTAACTTTAGAAACAGGAAACACAGCATACCAGCGCAGTGGACGTCCCACCTTCTGTCCTTAAATTCGTGAAACGTCTTGCGGTTTTTCTTTTGTCTTTGCACTCTTTCATTCAGCGTTAACTCGCCTCTCGTTACTTTCACTTCTGCCTGTTCCGCTTTGTGCACGCGTAGTCTATCTGATCGTGATGCGTTCACGGTGTTTCCCGGAAAGTGTACAATTGCAACAGGTGGTCACGTGACCATCATGCCGACTCGGTAAAGTCCAAACTTTTTTGGGAATTGTCTCCAAACAGGAGGCTATGCGTTGGATTGCTTTCAGTCAGTTTGCTTTACCATGGTCCACAAAGGATTATTTGCAACGGTCAAAAACGGCTTTATACTTTTACTGCATTACATTTAAGGGGAAATATTGTACTTTTTTTCCTCCATAACATTAATTTGACAGCTATAGTTACTTTTTAGATTAAGGTTTTAGTTTATAAAGTACTTGCTATATAGATACGTATATTGCTGCTAATGCTTTTGAACTGAGTTGGTATTGACATCACCAGGGGCACATGAACGCAGCAGCACTTAGACTCTTTAGTGGCATCCCTTATCTCCTTTATCCAGCAGGAAAAACTAACTGCACCGCAGATGCATCATAAACATACTGATGTGCCCTCCCCCTGGTCGTTGTCTGTTCAGTGATAGTCTGGCAGCGTCCAACTCGTCCTCTCTTTACATCTTTGTCATGTCATGAACATTAGGCTGGTCCATTTCTAGCAGGCCTTCAGACTTACTGCAGAACATTGTGTGCTGTTTGGTCACTGAAGGGTGTTGCTCTCTTATGGGCTGTGCGTGATTTTAAGAAGGTGGCTGCTGGTCCACCCTTGTGAGAAATATGTGTAATGCTCATATAATATCCCCACAGGGACTTAGAGTATGTCAGAGGCACCAAAAAGTACATTTATATTCACCATTTGCTTACTTTTTGACCTGTAGTTTTAATATCTGTATGGTATCCCTAATCTGGAGTTCTTTCTTCATCGAAAACAAAACCATGGGGCAACAGACTCCTTTGTGGCTGAAAACATGGCACAGTCGACGTGTTGGGTAACATCAAGACTCAAAGAGACCAAACTTCTTTGTTGATTTCCTGAAGCAGGATGGTTGATCATCAGTGAAACTGCACGGCACTGAAGACTTACCAGGGTCTTAATTACTGTGTGTGTATGTGTGTGTGTGTGCTACATTTATGATAAGGAGCTGACAGACAGACAACACAACTCCATTGTAGTTTAACAGCGTCACTCACACGTGCAATTGAAATTCTCTCCAACAGTCTTCGATTCTTTCAGTGACAGTTACTGTATATGCAAAACAAACCACCATAAGGCATGATCCCATTACGCCTCTGATTATGGAAGAGGTCCAGACATAATCCAGAGATCAAGACATACTTAGATCATAAGAAGTTACAGTGTCATTGAGTAATGACACCAGTTGGCACACTGCTGTGCTACATTTCTTGTATCTTGCATCAAAGGATGCAAAAAGAAGATGTAAACGAATAGAGCATCTAAAGCGGAAATTTGACAGAGGTTTGAAAGTAAAGAGATATCATAAACTGGAAGTGGGGTAATTTGCCTCAAGATCTAAGCTTCATTTAGGTGGCTGAATGAAAACATTGGTTTGCTGAAGCCCATGAAGATGAATAATTGGTTGTAATAATGTTAAACTCTCAAAGGCCTGAACTTATGTCCATAAACTAAATGAGAGCTCACCGAGAAATATTTTCTATTTTACTTAAACCTTTGTACCCACACACTATTTTACAGATCATTTTGTTATATGAATACAAGTATGAGATCCTAATGTGTAATAGATTTTCCATTAAGATATTTGGTTGTAATTGTTTGTTTCTATTTAAATTAAGACAAACACCTAGAAAATATATATCTGAAAAATTTGTATTACTGATAATCAGTATGATGTTACGGCTATATAACCTCACCAAAGAGTTTACAGTGATCAGTCATCTCCATTATGACATTAGGTTGTTTTTATTATGGGTGATGGTATAAGCCTCTTCAATATAAACACTAGAGAGAAAGGAGGTGGTCCGTGTGAATAAAGCACTCAGAGCATCACCATTTGTCAACACAGACCTAAGGAACCATGAATAAATGCAACTAATCTAAAAATACATCTAATATTACTGGTAATGTGCTGTTTCGAGAGGTGAAGCAGGAAAGAGCTGGTCCTGAATCGGTTTCTATTCATCGTAACACATGTTATCACTTAAACCAAACTGAAGCTGTGATTACACAAACAGTATCAAAATCAGTGGACTCGTTTTCTGTGGTGTGTCATCAGATAAAGCAACACTATCATCATACAGTTACACTACTTTATGGTACTCTTACTACTTCTACCACCAATATGAGTAGTAGTAATACTATTACTGCAGTAATATTTGTATAGTTTAATAGTTAAGTACAGCATTTAGTAATCGGATATGTTATATAATGTTAGAGTTGGCCTATAGTTTCTTATAGTATACTATAAAATAGTAGTGTAGTGTTGTACAGTACTGTATTATAGTCTTGTATATACTTACTGTATAATAGTATACCTTAACAATATGGTAGTATCGTAAAGTAGTGAAAAACATCAAACTTTACTTTTATCATCACATACATATATGAAAATATAGTATAGTCTGCTGTAGTATAGTATAGTGTGTAGAGTATAGTATAGTTTAGTTGTATATAGTATACTCTAGTGTAGTCTAGTAGTACCATAGTATAGTATAGTACTGTAGGGTTATGTCGTATAGTGCAGATATCTACTATACTTTATTATATAATTCTATACATAATTGTACAGTATTTTAAGTATAGTATAGTATAATAGTGGAGAGTAGTTTAGTACTATACTCTACTATATTATATAATACTACACCACACAATAGTATAGTGTATGTATGTATGTATGCATATTAAGGTGATATGTTAATCAGGAATTTCAACCCAAATCTGAGAGCATTGCCTCAGTTAAGCTGCATCAGCCTCTAATAAACCTCAGACTCATTTTCACTACCTAACGCTTCATCACAGTGAACATATAACCACCATATTACATCTGGGATGTACTGAGGCAGCGTGAGAGACTTAGTCAGGTCAGAGCTAGTGGAGTCAGAGACCCGGCCAACAAAAGACTTCTTCAGGGAAAAGCTGCACAAATACAAAGGCCATATTCAGCATGCTGATCACCCTCCCTTCATATCATTGTCTAGAACTCGTCAATGGATGGCACGCTCACATCCCCATGACTACAACAGCCTGAGTCCAGGCTGATTTCCCATCAGTAGTGAATGGACTTTCAGTGGATCTGCTGTTTGTGTTTGTCTATGACGCTGTTACAAAACCTTGTCACGCTTATTGTCATGGGGATAAAACCTTGATATTTTAGTCACGACTTGTTGACAAAACAGCACATTCATTCTGATGGGACATAGAGGTTTTGTGTTGTTGAGTCAACAGGAGAGGTGGGGCCTGTTACGGCATGTTCTACACTCTGTCTGGGTCCTAGTTTTACCTTACTTAGTTGTCCTGCAGGTTGCTTAGTTTGAATGCATTTTGGGGATTTATTATATGTTTAGTGGGCATATTTCAGGTTTTTCAAACAGAGTTGTCAGTTAATAGACGTTAAAATGTAATCGATCCTTATTTGAAAACAGATGTGTCAGAAGCCTCACCAGCTGGGCCTGGTTTGGAGAATACCACCCTTTTCTTTTCTTTTCTTTTTACTGCATTCTTCACAGTACTCATAATATGACCCACTTCTGTTCTGATGTTTGCAAAGTTAAATGTCCTTTTCAGTCAGATGATTACAGTATTTCAACATTTCGGGTTTTTTGCTATTGCTCTGTTGTATTTGTATTACTAAAGCCTGTGAACACACTGAACAGAAACCAAAAGTGTGCCTTTACAGTTTCAGCAAAAGGCTGCTCTGAATCGGCAGCGAGGCTGAGAGTATTTCCCTCACATCTACTTCCTCAAGTCTCCAACTCTCTGTCTCCATACAGCAAAGGTGTAAAAGTAAACACTGTAATATTTATTACATATCAGAGCATTGAAACCATTAAATAACATAAGTTATCAGGAAAAAAAAAGCCTTGTGAATTCTGCTCATCAAACAAAATAATAAATAAATCTTGAACATAGTGGGAGACCTGTTGCAGCTAGAGAGCCTGAACATGATCTTGGCCTCACACAGCATGGATCAGCTCAGTATGAGGGTGTGAAAATCGAATTCAACAAGGACTACAGGGCCCCCAGAACCATGTAAAGAAATAGTTATCTGTTTATACAGAACAAACAGCGCTCATGGGTCCATTCTTTATTAAAAAAAGAAACCACACAAATAAAGCAATAAATAAATAGCCCCTCGGTGAACAGATACGTTCATTAACACATTGGTTAAATTATGTTGCAAATATACATGAAAGTGAGAATGTTGACTATTTGCACTTCATAACAGGGATTATCCTCCATCACTAGACGTGTGCAAACAGACATGAGCCTTAAACATCTGACCCTGGTGTTTATTGAGTCAAAGTATTGCTATCTGGTGCCTCCCAAGTGGTGCTTGTTTTTCTCTCACTGCCCTAAATCTACTCTTCACTGACCTCTGCTGCCTCACAGCAGCTTCTCAGCAGCAGGAACACTACGAGCTGAGTCAAAAACATGCAATATCTCTGCGAAAGGCATACTGGACACAAAGGTGTTACAAAATCCTGTCTGAACTATTTGACAAGTAGAAACAGAATTTAAATGGATTGCTGCTGATGAACTTTTTCTAGATTGCCGGATGTTTTGGGGATTATTGGATTTTTTTTATAACACATGGTCCCGCGCTTGGTTTTTAATATTTGTAATCTACTTAAAACATTACTCCAACACAGTATTACAGTCGATTTTTGCAGATGACAGAGTTCTGTGTGTATTTGCCTCTTCTCACACTCAAGTCATGTCTAGATTACAGACTTTCTTAAACGCTGCAGAATCTTAAATGTATTGCCTATAAGGGAAACTATGTTTTATACTTCGCTCTCTCATCTCTCTGCCATTCATACACTTAAAGGTAAATAAAAACAATATAGCCTGCAAATGACAGAAATATTTATCTTTTTTTATAAAAAAAAAAAAACACTGGCATTTAAAGAATTAAAACTGTGAAAATGAATATTTGGTATTTATGAATATATTGGTTAAAAGATTTAACTTAGTGAGGAGGAAAATATTATTGACATGTAACATTTTTATGGCAGTTTTCTTTTCATGTTTGTCCTTTGAGGACATTAGAACTTAAAGTGAGGCACAATGGTTAACTGTGCAAAAGCCTACGCAACAGCTGCTGTCTTTTTTTTATGTACAAATGTACAAATGTTTTAGGGCCACTGAGATGTTTGAGTAATACTTTGTATACTTTGCAATAGGAAACTTTGTTTATGATTTAATTCTGTCTGTATGTACATAATGTGTGTTTATGGCTTGATGGTGGTAGTGACTGCAGGAGGCCTAGAGGCACTGACGGGGATGACTCCGGTGGCCAGCAGGATGATGATGAGGACGACGATGAGGACGACCACCACGATGAACACGACCAGCTTTGCGTTCTTCCACCAGTAGGCGCGAGCAACTTTCCGGGATGTTTTTTTAAAGTCCTCAGCCTGAGTAGGGAGGCAGACAAGACATTGAAGTAACACATTGTGTATTTCTGACACACAGATTCCCTTAAAGAAAACAGACCCCGAACTCATCAGTGTGTCCCTCAAACTTCATTGGCTCCATCCTCCAACAATACCTGAATCAAATGTCATTGAGAAGAATTTTTTTACAGAAAGCATTTAACGACAATTATTGCCCTTTCGACAACAGAAAAAAAATACAATAACATCAGAACCACAGGCATATGTTAAAGATGCAATGTGTAAGACCTGAGCAGAATTTTAGTTGAAAACATTTACCGAACATTATCATCAGAATGTGAAGAGGTTACAGTGCTGATGTCATGTCTTTGTATTGTGTTGCAGAGATATCTACTGAACTGAGCACGCTAACCAGCTAGCCCCGGCCCATCCTGTCTCGTAATACCATTTGTACTTCGACTGACTTACCTACAAAGCGAAGTGGTCAAAGCAATCATTAACGGTGTCAAATACAACTGTGCTTTTCCTGCTATGACTAAACTAAATGTGTGCCTGAGATAGCTGGGGGTTGTAAGTTTCCAACAGGTGCTCAGTTAGTTGGCAGTTACTGTAATGACACGCCTTTACTGACACATTTCCTAGAATGAGAAAACTAGGACAGGTTGTGCATTTTACAGAAAGCAGTAACTTCCTCACCTATGATGAGCTCTACAACCTGTGCAGTGAGGCATTTGGACCTCAGACAAAAAGGTTGTTGGGTTAACGAATTCCGTCACCTAACGAGGTGCAGCTGGACCAATGCTTTGCTAAAAGGTGCCTAAAAAGGCCACTGGTTCTGTACTGTAATGGTTTGAATATGGGATGGCCTCTACTGACTTGTTGTACTGGTTTACCTGCTGATGATGAACACTGAGGTCATAGTTTAACAACTTCTTTGTTTAACCTCCCAACCTCATTTTACACAAATCATAATAAAAAGATAAGACCGACCTCTTTTTTCATTTTCTCTGCCGTATCGAGAATGTCGAGCCCCTTTTCTCCTCGTTCTACGACTCGTTCCACGTTTATCTTCATCTCCTCTTTGACTTCGTCTACCTGGTCCCTCAAGGCCTGCATCTTGTCCTGTGGTGCTGCTTCTGCAACTCCTCCCTGCTCCTGGGATGGGGTATGAGAGAAGTTAGTTACTAACTAATTAAAGAATTTAACAATATTTTACAGTTTAACTACTACTTTTTGTATTTAAAAAAATATTTTCCAAAGACTGTCCCACTTCAACTTTTGTTGGTTCTGGATGGTAGCAGTAGAAACAAATACTGTAATAAAGTACAATTTTAAGATAGTCCTACTTTACAAAAGTATTTATATTACTTTTTACTTTTAATCCATTACATTTCAGGGAGGAATACTGTATGTAAAAAAAACATGACCCTTTAAAATAATTTTTGTTAAATTTGAGTTTAAAACGTGAGTAGTTGAAGCAACCGTTGAGTAAAAACAGAGTAGTTGACGGTTAAGCACTGAAGTGACAGATAGTTGAAGTGCTAGCATTTTAAATTGTAGTCAGCTGAATCACATATACATACATGTATATATATATATATATACACACAGTACATACATACATACATACATACATACTACTACCACCACGTGGTACTTTGCCCACAGATTAAGAAGGGTCTGCCAAAACAAACTTTGCTCTGTTGCCTATAAAAATGAGGTGATTATTCACTCACCATGTCTGTCTTGTCTCTTGCTGTGTTTGTGCTAAGACTGTCACATGTCATGGTTGCGTGAGCTTCCTGAAAAAACAGGTTCACTGGTGATGTCATCTTAATAGTAGGTGACATCAAAAAGTCCAACCAACGAAATCATTAGAATTTATTTACCAGTCCCATCGCTCCGCCCGTCCTGTCAAATCAAACTGCCTCTCTCTCCAAAGCTGACAGCCCATTGCTTTACACTGAGGATGGACTCCTCCCTGAACCTGTTCCAACAGGAACAAATTACATCATATTAAGGAAGTAATGAATGAACTTCAGATGCCAGAAACACAGCACAGCAGCTCCTCATGTACCTGAATGTCTCACCTTTGTTGCCACGGATAGTGGGCCGTCTCCCTGGATGGCAATGTCGGTCTGTCTTTTGGTCGCTTTGTTCGCTACGTATGTCCAGCCGGAAATACCCGAGCAACTATTGTACGGTTTTTCCGTGACCATTCCTCAAATTTGTTTTTTTGTTTGAAACCTAAAATGAATAAAACCCCAGAAATATGTTTTTTGGTAAAAAATAAGAAAACCAAATACCAAAAGAAAAAATGACAAAAAAGAATGAGCAAAGATCAGAATCCGACAACAAAAAAGTAAAAACTGCTCTTTCCCCCTGTTTTTGTTTAAAAAAAACCAAACGATATTTCCTCTATCTCCACCTTGTGGCACTTCAACAAACAGCAAAGGAGAGGACAACAGAGTAGAGGGAAAATACTATTTATTTCATAGCAGACCATTAAAACCATTAAATGCCACTAAATAATCCTGTTAATCAAAACATTCATGTACATCACAGGTCAGCTGAGCAGGATGCTGGCATTTCATCTGTTTTTGGGAATGTGTTGATTTCAAAATGACAAAGAGTTGAAGACCGTCTGCAGCTGGAGCCTGTACACGAACACACGCAGCATTACCCAGTTGAGAATGAGAGTACGGACAGGCAAAGAGATTATTAGGGCTACTGCACCCCAGAGCCTTGTTAAAAACACAACGGAGAGCCTCATTTTCATACCTACTCCTAGAAAATGAAAATAATTGAACTGTACCATTTTATGTTTTTAAATTTGCATAGAAATCACATACAGCCTTCATCGGTTCATTTTTGATTAAAAAAATAGAACATAAAGCATTAAATAAATAGCCTCTAAAAGAACTGTTAACACATTAGTCAAAGGCTGACGCAGATATACATAACGGTGAGACTATCTGGACTATTTACACTTCATAGTGGGCATCATTTTGACCTCTTTGAAGCTAAACTCGTTCTGTAAAAGCAGGTGAGACACACAGAGTCTTTACTCCGGACTGTTTTCCTAGTGGGAAGCTGTGACTGCGGGGGTCTGTTGGCTGACATGGACCCAACAGGGGGAGCCATGGAGGGGCTGTAAATGATCTCTCTCTCTCAGCTGGTTGGCTGGAGGAGCCTGATCCTCCAAAAACTAGAAGTGTGGGAACAGAACTTTATCAAAGTACAAAAAGGCATGCACTTGAACTGCAACAGTTCTAGAGTTAAAGCGCAGTTAGGAAACGCGATGTTAAAAAGACAGATGTTACTGCAGAGTACAAATCTACAACTGTGTGTTTTCTTCCCTTCTAAAAAGGACCACTCATTTCTGTTGAGTAGAGAAACGCAGAACTACAAATGCTGTGTCGTTTTCACACTTCAGATCCCGTCATCAGTTACATTTTATAGCCCAAACCGAACTGCTGGACTCTGTGTTGTAGCCAGCGGTAAACGAGCTCACCGTTCTCAGACTCAACACAGTATTGCTTTATAAACTTGGACTGTGGACTATTACAAACAACCCTTCAAACATGAGCCCTCCACACAAATAAGGAGCTGCTAAAATAGTGCTAAGTGTACACATTCAATAAACTTTTAAAAGAATTTCTATGGATAATTACCTTTTCTAGATTGTCTGACTACAAAGCACTTTGAAAGGAGTTAAGCCCACAAATGGTAACATACATATCCAACACACAATCCAGCATTTTATCAAATATAGCGCGACCTAAAATTGTTCCAAATTCATCAGCAGAAACAACACGTTGCCCGATTTCCTTTAAAAACTGCATCTTTCATATGATACAAAGACCAACCAAGACCAAAAGAATGTCTAGTAAGATACTTGAGTAATCCACATTCATCATTTCCTTCCACACACACATTAAAGGGACTTTCTCTTTGACAACTGAAATAAGTGTCCAGTTAAACAAAGAGAAGCGGGTATGTAGCGTCCTTTGAGAACAAGGACTGTTTGTTTTTGCTGCTGTCAGGTGAAAAACCACAGACCTTCCAGACACCCTCATTTGATTTCCCACAAATTCAAAAATGTCTACGCTGGAACTGTGTTTTTAAAGGGTTTCAAAAACCACGAGCCATTAAAGTTCCTTCGTCCTGGAAATCCAATACAAGCATGAAAGTTACCAGTAGAAACCAACTCAGAAGTAAAAAAGATTTCACCAGACAGCAGTTTGAGTCTATATATTACTTTGCACACTGTGCAATAACAATGCGTTTGTTTATGATTGCATGTACATTATGTGTGTGTGTGTGTTGTGCGTTTATGGCTTGGGGGTGGGATTGACTATAGGAGGCACAGGGCTACTGATGGGGATGACTCCGGTGGCCAGCAGGACGATGATGAGGACGACGATGAGGACGACCACCACGATGACCACGACCAGCTTCACGTTCTTCCACCAGTAGACGCGAGCCACTTTCTGAGACGTCTGCTTGAAGTGCTGAGCCTGAGCAGGGAGGGAGACCAGACAAACAATCGACTTCTTTCTTTACAGTTCTTGTACAAGGGGAATAAAGTAGTCCATGAATATGAGACATGAATCTACACATAATTACACTCCCTCCTCAGCACTGTGGAGGTTAGTTTGTGGCTTTTGCCAGTTACACCTACAGTCTACGGGCACATCTATGAGCTACACTAATTGTCTTTTTGGTTCTTCACAGTTCATTTCGTTTGTCTACGGAGGCTCGCTCTACGGCCGCCAAGCGGGAGCATAAACAAAGCTTATTGAGCTTGGCTCTGTCTAAAGGAAACAAAACCTGCCTACCAGCACAGCAAATCGCCATCTTTATGTTTGCACAGATAAAAAAAACGAAAGACATAATTTACTAATTAGTGATCGTCTACTGCGTTAGGGAAGGTAAGCAGATAGTGTTGCCATTGGACAGAGCAAGACCGGCTGTTTGCTTGTTACCATTTTTGCTGCTTTTTTCCCCCAGATGGACAGGTAGCTAGTTAGCTATGCAGGAAGATTAGCTTTTTAAATTATTTTGATAGCTGATAGAGATGAAAAGAGAGGAACTGCGGAGAGGAAGAGGGGTAACATAGAATGAAGGTCCCTAGCTGGCAATGAACCGGGTGTGTTGCGCCCTAAATATGTTGGAAGATGACGTAACGTACTACTGTTGGAAACAGGCGTGAATAAGCACAACACTTTGAAGTGCTGAACTTTGGGAAGTGATTAAGAGATCCAGAACCAAGCGAACACTTAAGACGGGCTCAGACTACAGGAGTTTAGGGCCAATTTAACCCTGGTTCACCCCTCTAGATCCGGTCTCAAACCTCCCTTACCTTGCAACAATTTTCATTGAAATGAATGCATTTCTCTACAGATAAAAATACCATCAGAGTATGTAGTAAGTAACCAACACTATTTATCACCAACACACACAACCTAACATCGGCTACTCTTTGCGTGGCTGAAGAGGCTCGGTCTCTGCTACCGACTCCTTTATATCGGACATACTGTAGACATCTCAATCATGTGCCATTGATAATGGTCGTGCCTGGTTGTTGTGCATGCTGGTTCACTTACATGGCTTTCTGGCACAGCTGAATGACACAGAGCCATTATTAATGTCATTAGATGCAGCTGTGCTTTTATGTCAAACTGACTGCTGAGAGAAAGGTTGAGTAGTGGGAGACAGCAGGACGATGTTTGTTTTGTACCGGTGCCTCAGACACTTTCTGTGATAATTCCGTGTGAAACACGATTTACAGGTTGTGTAGTTTTAAGGCAGTGGTCACTTCCTTTCCTACGATGAACAGTCGGCCTTTTTCAGAGCAGACATTTCTCATGTCACATGGCTACTTTAAGCTATACTATGTAGCATTGTTGTTTGCTGTTCGTTAACACACAGCACATACAAACAAAAGCAATGTAAAGAACCCTTTATCCGTCACAAATCAACGCTTTATATCACAGACACTAAAGGTTGCATCGATATCAGACGCCAAGGCTCTTTGCTGATGCCCCAAAACATCCCAAACACAGCGAAATAAGAAGAGAAAATACAAACAGAGGCTCTCTGTAGATACAGTTACAGCTACACACTTCTAGTGGGTCATAAGTGAGGATTTTTGAATCAGTCTGTATAATCTGGATGATGGCTGATTAGCATGGCTTCCTGGGACACATTAATGGAACTGAGCCATTGTTAATGTTATCAGCTCCACCTGTGCTTTTAGCGCTATGACCAAATCTAAATGTCTACCATGAAGAAAGTCTATACAGCCTGTGCAGGGAGGCATTTGAACCTCAGACAAAAAGGTGGTTGGGTTAATGAACTTAATCACCTAACGAGGTGCAGCTGGAACAATGCCTTGCTAAAAGTTCTGAATTCAAAGTTTAGGTTAGAGCAAGAAAAAGGCCACACTTAGCCAGATTCAAGACATTACAGAACACAAATAAATCGGACTATGTGACTTGTTATGGTTGGCCTGATCACTATCACTGTCATTGCATACCAACCTTTTTGTTTTTCAAATTCACAGCACACCAAAGATGCAGCGGTGCGTATGTAGTCCACATGTCGACCCGCTTCTACGCAGACCAAAGGCGAAAGGATAAACTCATGTGGTAAGACTCACCCCTGCTTGCAGGTCCTCTGACTTGCCCATTAGGTCATCCAGTCTCTCCCCTCGGGCCAGGATCCGGTCCACGTTCTGCGTCATGATGTCTTTCACTCCATCCACCTGATCCTTCAAGGTCTGCACCTTGTCCTTCGGCTCTTCCGCTTCTCCTCCCCGCTCCTGGGATTCAGACCAGAAACAGGGAATTTAAGAAAAGTAGTTGAGGAACAAAGTATAACACATGGGAGCTGCGATCCATGTCCAAACTTTATCCTGTAGCTTTTATCAGTGTTTTTAGCCGTTTGTTTTAAGGAACTTAAGATGCTAAAACTGGGCCAGGATCAAAGGCCATCACGACTACGTGCACTTACAGTCTATGTGTCTAACATCTTTGGACTAGTTTGTCTGCTCCTTGACATCATGTGGAGTAACTCAAGGGTCAGTCATTAGATCAATTTACTTTGTAATGACTGCCTCTAGGTCACACAATCATAACACATCTATCAAAACAAGTGATATCAAAGTGACTGGTTGTTTAAATCTGTTCTCCGGACTCATTTTTCACCAGAAGACCTTTAAGATTCTGTGAGTTATTTCCTCTCATCTCCTCGTGACTGGGTTCATCTGTCTTACACCAGCGCAGGTCAATAAAGCAGCAGACTTTAAAAGGAATGAAACGATTCTCTGTCAGTCTTGTATTTTCAGACAACAATGTGCATGACGACAGCTGGTGGTGGCTCTGGGAGTCCCTCGGGCTGCTGGCAGTCAAACAATGGTTCATTTCTGGGAATGCCTGCCGCAACACATTTGCACTCACCAGGAAGATAAGCTGTGATCTTACACAGTCGTACGTGTGATTTCAAAGCAGAAATGTTAAATGCAGTGTGGTTGGTGTGTGTGTTATGCACAGTGACTTCCATGTCCCATGAGCCAGCATCAGACGGTAAACAAAACTGTCTCTAGGAAACAGAGCAGGTTTTGCTGCGTCATCTATTGTCTACCTTCTCTCTCTCTCTCCATTCTTGTCCTCCCTCTACCCATTTCATTGTCTTATGGTTCATTATCTCCCTTCTTTCATTGTTCTCTTCTTTATTCGGTTCACCTTCCCTCAACTGTTTTTCTTTTGGATGACCTTTTAGATGCCCTGTTGTGCGTCCTGTTTTTATTTATTTATCTCTCTCTCTCTCTCTCTCTCTCTCTCTCGGCCCACTGAATGGCTGACAGGTATCAAGTATCAACATTTGCAGAAAGAGGGAGACAGAAACGACAAGACGTTCAAGCACTAATGGCTGCATTAAGTGTCCTATTCAAATATTTGAACTGTTATAAACCTCGTTGAGGAAAACACAAATGAGTTCCTCTGTTGAGCATAGAAAGTTCCCCCAGTCTTCCAATAAAACTTGACAACTCAAACAAAAGCGTGACGATAAGGCACCTTGTAATAAATACTTATCTGATGCACAAGGAATAAGAACGATACATAAGAATGAAATAAATCAAACATTTGTCTGGGGATGTAAATACAAACCACATTAAATCCTCACTGCTCACTTCCTAATCTAGTCAAATGTGGAACAACTGTAATCTGTATGGCAGGCACTAGACTGAGATTTTCCTTTTATCAAAGCACCCAAACAAATGCTGAGGTAAAACAGTGACACAAGTCGTCATGAATACAATAAATAGTAATAACAGCACTCAAGTAACCTTAAATGTACCACTATAAGATCCTGGGAGTCCCTCACAGCTGAAGCTAATTAAAACATGTTTATAATTAAACAAAGTCAGCAATTTGAATCTACCTTGACATGCAGTTTAAGGTTTAATATTAAGTACAGAGAATGTTTGAATTAATTTAAAAAATAATATCAGTGAAGCAACACTTCACTCAATAACATGACAACTTTTACAACGACCTTAATGTTTAGTTAATACAAAATATTAGCCCAATGTAACGCTACTAGCTATACATGAGTGTTTAAGTATCTAATCTAAGTTAGCAAGCAGTGAGCTCGAGATGAAATGGGACTCAAAGTGTTGACTTCTTAAGAGACTAATTGGGCAGTTTAGAGACGTCACGAGCGCTGCTGTGCCTGGGTTTTACCTTCATCAGCTGGTAAAGTAACATTAAAGTGACACATTGTTAAATGGAGTCTGGCTACAGGCGTCAGACTCAAGCGACAACAAATGAAGCAGAGTTGTGAAATGTATCGTTTTAGTGCGACTAATCCCACCTGTGACCGTTTGGTTTCTGCACTGAGTGTAATTAGGCCATTTTGTTAGCTCACTCCGGGACTTTTCTTTCTCAACAACGAAAAGTTAATTCATGTCAGTAACGTTAAGACTAGATGCAACAAAGCTACTTTATTTTATCCGGATACACACCTGTTGCATATAGTGTCTGACGTTACACATGGTGACGACGGAGAGGCTTTCTAAACAATACAAACAACAAAACACAAGCGTTGACCATCATCTCTTACCGGATCAAACTCCATCTTGTTGGAAACAAAGCCCTTTGACCACAACCCGATGGATCAACTCTCCTCCAGTTGACGCTGTTATTTAAAAAACCTTAAAAGCTTTTAGTAGATCTGAGAGTTAGATGCTCCAACAACACATCGAGGACGTTCCCTCCTCTGTTTAACTTCCTGGTTGTTGTTCAAACTGAATTCCTTCGCTTCGAGTGTCAAGTGGCTCAAATTACAACCAGTATTTTCCCGACCGCGCTCCTCAAAATAAAGCACGTGTCGTAACTTTGCAGCGTGAAGACAGTGGTCGTGAAAAAGTTTAAGGTAAAAAGTGAAAAGGGAATACTTTTAAGGACCATATTTGTAAGTTGTTAAACCATATTTAACCGTGGTATAAAAATATCCTGAAAACAGCAACAAATACATTTTTTACAAATATTGGCTTGAAATGACATAGAATGAAAGCTCTGAAGAGTGCCGTTGATTCAGCGTGAAAACATGATATTTTATAATACATTTGTTTGATTATTATTTTAGTTTATAGTATATTTATTAACCTTATGCATTTTGTTACCGTCCACGTTGCACACAAGTTCTACTATGGCAACAGTTTACTTTTATTTTGAAGGCCCTGTTGTTGTGCAACCCATGTGACTTCATGATCAGGATGGCGTCAAGGTGTTCATTCAAGGTGCTGATATGATCACCGAATGAGGGACCAATTATATCATCATCAATGTCAATAGTTATGAATCGTCATTGTTAAAAAACCTTGATTAAATTCCTCCTAATCAAATATATTCCTTCACCAAGAAAAAATAGTTCTTCATGAACATCAGGTGTGTAGATAGCTAGGCTACAAAAACAAGTTATTGGATTGGTAACGGGAATAAGTTTATTATATTACACAACTGGAATTTGAATTGACAGCTTTTAGGACAGTGATGTTTATTTAATAAGTCAGAAGAAATCAGAAGTGGGGATACATTTGTACATTTTAGAAATATATATTGAAAATGTGAAACCACTCTTTCAATTTGAAACTAATTCACCAATTCAGACTCTTCACTCTTCTATTGCTCCACAAAAAGACTTGTTTTGCCACTAAATAACCAGATTTCTCTAAATCCCGCGATTTTACAGCATAACTGTTTTCCATGGGATATATGCATCAGTGACATGTACTATAATTTCTGCCAAATTGCCAGAAACTTGTTTCATCATGCACTCTCAGGCCCAAAGTATCGTTTCTTCACAGGAATATAACATTAAAAACTCTATAACTTCTTAATTGGCTTGTCAAAATCAGTCATTTCTCATGTTGCATTGCTGATGGCAGTTGTGCAACATTATAATATATAGACCATCGCAACTCATTCGTTAACACAATAAATCAGTATCTACATCAGCAGCAATGTTCCATGTCCCAGATCGCATTTGATTGAATAAAGACGTCGCGCTCCACATAATTGGTAATGGTGATCAGCTGAGTGACTCCTCCCTGTCCTGCAGCTCCTTGACATGGTGACGTCATACCGAGTCCCAGCCAGCCACACCAGCACCTGATCAACCGGTTTGGCTTTCATCTAAGGCGGCAGCGGTGAGGCTTCAATACTGTTCATTACCTGCCGTCATATTAAGACAACTACTGCAGGCTGCTCTGAATCACAAGCTGCTAAAAATAATCAAAGCCATTAGAGCCATTTTGGGAGAACAATTTGCCTGGCAGGCATTAGCAAGTGTGCCAAAAATACTGCCGGTTGCATTATTGAAAACACTAATTGTGGGGGGAAAAGGCGTAATGACTGGGAATTAACTTCTACAGCATGTTTTAGAAAAAGGCTTTTATTTCTTTTGACAATATACATTATTTGTGCAGTGGTTGAGCAGTGAAATTATCTACACACAGAGTACAGAATAATAGAAGAAGCAAATCCTAGTGAAGGAATAGAGGCAGATTTGACTTTTAAACGGTTGCTATAAACCGTATTTGCTACAAAATGAATAAAAAGATTGATACATCTAAACAAGCGAGTGGTACAACAGTAAAGAGTAAAAGAGACAAACAAGTAGAGAATAGCAGCGATTTTCCAAAGCAACATCTCATCCTATATTTCTCCTCAGTGGCCTTGTCTGATGATGATATCGGACATGTCATCAACCTTCACCAGCTCCAAGTTCTGCAAAAGACAAAACATATTCCACATTGTACACTACAATAAACAGATATGCATACTTTACCTGTTTTCAATAGATGGCCACAAGTCTAAAAAAAGACCATTTCAGTAACTCTAATGTTTGTAAGACGAAGCAAAACTCCAGTGTGAATAAAACATGGACGGTTCGTACACGTTTCCTTTCAAATGTCACTCTCTCTTTCTACATTCTTAGTTTGAGGTATTTCATGTTGCATCGACAGGAAGATTATACATTTAGACGGCGATGAACACTACTATGAGCAGCAGAATACACTGTAAACTGTTTCCTTTTTGCCTAATAAACACCAAGTAAAAAATAAACTCACCTTTTCATTGGCAAGATGAAGCAGAGCAACAAAAGCCAGAGGCACCGACAGGTTCTGAGCCATCGTGTTTGGCAATCTGGATCGCCACAAAGAGAGAGAGAAAGGATAAAGAAAGACAGACGCAATACATTTTCCATTCCATCGATCATGCTGTTCAAATCGAGTGCCTTTAATGAAATGGTACTTTTAAGTTCTGCTGCTAGCTGGTTCACAGTAGGGTTAACGTGATGCATATCCAACCAAGCTAAACGGCAAACTTTTCTCATCAAATCTTAACGGGATTTGAAAACTTTTCCCAGTTGCCATTTTGCGTGGGGCCGAACAACGGCCCTTTGCTGTCATATAGTCACACCATACCACGGCCTGAATGTAGCCATTTCTGTTATAAAACAGTCATCAAGCATGGCAATAGGAACGATCTACACATATTCCGATTCAAATAGTATTTAAATGAATAAATAGGCCCTTGAGTCCCGAAACCTGTAAATGACAGAGCATTGTTGCACTTCTGGAACGGTGGTTGCTTTAGAACGTACACTAGCAGCTAGCATCCCCCCCCCACCACAGACTGGCATTACATTGACTTCATTATCGGGCTATTTATGTGTTAGCTGGAGGCGTGTTGCTTGGTGTGTGTGCGAGGACGTATTTGCTCCACTTTCTATGGTCCTCGAGTTTCGGTTACCAATAGCTCTGGAGAGAAGTTTCACACTGGTGGCCATAATCTCTCTGGTGTCGAGACCCGTATCCTGTATTTTTGAGTCGTGGTGCTTGTAGGCAGTGGTTAGTGTTTTTCTGCAGAGTTCTTGCATATTCTGGGAAACACTGTCGAACCTCATTTCTACGTGGCGCTGCATTTCTTTCAGCAGGCGGAATGTTGTGTGGAGACGGGCGCTGCTCAATCCACTCCTCCAGAGAATGTTTCTTTAAATGTTTGCATTCTGAAGCCGGTTTGAGCACATTTCATCTGTAACCTGTTCTGTGATGTCGGGAGTGATCCAGTGGACCATGACAACACATTAGTCTAACACTTTTTTTTTTCTCAGACAGGGATGAGACGTCACAGCAGTGGTATGTAGTTATTCGATAACGGCTATCGACCAATCAGATTGCTTGATTTGAGCTACCAGTTATATAATTATCAAACAAGTCGATGTAACCCTACAGATGAAAATCTGTCTCAGAATTTAGACACATACAAGAGATTGTGTTAAATCTACACTTCCATATCTAAGTCGAAGCCCCGATCAACGACATTTAAAATCTGTACAGATATTTGCACGCCATTGTCTATTCAGTCATTATTGTTGCTCATTAGTACCGCGCCATGGCAGGCATGGTAGGTGGTCTGCTGGTACCTTTGAAGCAGCGTCTTTGTGGTCTGACTGAAGACTTTCTCCCCACACACTTCTTGTTTCTCCACAGTATCCTCCTCCTGTAGGGAACATTAAGGCAGAACTAAAAATACAGACTGGTACAAACAGATACACACAGCTAAATCTCTGACTGGCTGAATGTCTACACTACCTACCAAATGTGAGCAATGACCCAAGATTTGAGTTTCAAACCTAAAACTGATGAATTCATCATCGCATAGACCCGCTGACACATGGACAGTCCATCACTGTGATTTACCTCCGTAGATTTGTCCGGGCTTTCGGTCAGAAGAGTCCACATGTTGTTTTTGAGTCTCTTCATGTCCATTTTCTTTGCCGTCTTAGCATAATTGATCTCAATCATGTTGACCTACAAAAGCAAGCAATAATGGAAGTACAAGTATTTTAACTGCTAAGTTATAAATCGGTCAAATTCATGCATAGTAAATATTATTACACAAGCTTTTGAGCAGAGGGATGCTAGCTCTAAAAAAGGCCAAGACCAACCTACAGAATAACCTGCGCTAACATCTTGTGTTGCTCACCCTGTGTGGTTGAGGAACCAGATCATCCTCCCCGTAGGTTGAGATGCCCTCTTGGTCTTGTGAGGGCGGAGGTATACCATCACCTGAAGGCTGTGTATCGTCTGAACCGGCAAACCCTTCGCCATCATCATCACTGTCGCCACCCTGAAGAGGAACATGGCCAAAGACATGCCAGAGGGATAATCATTTGAGATGTGGTTCCTAATCAGTTTTATTATTTAAATCAGAGTTCTCTATCTTTGGTTCCTCAGGAGATTGGAAGTCCTCACATTTAGCAGATTCTACAGTACGGTGATATCGTGCTAGACAGCTTTTTCAAGTCACTGTGAACATATTCACAGTTATACCGATAATGGAAATTGACCACGATAAACTTTGTATTTTATTGTGATCAGTGATAAAATCCTATACCGCCCCACCCGTACGTAGGACAGGGGCTGATACATCACAGACATGATCACTGTAAACTGTCGTATGCACTAAAGATCCTCCCCGCTCACCAGCTCTTGAGTTTAAGTTTGATCAGCTGGACGAGAGTTATTTACACAGATCATCCTGTGAATCCACCAGGTATCTCACACACAGGGTCATGCTGTACACATCTTCATACATCCATAATATTTTATAGTTAAATCACCCCACTGCTACTCTTTAGATAAAGAAAAGGCTAATAACATAGAGTAAAGTCAAGAAGACAAAAACAAATCAAATCAAAAGTTCAGACCTGAAGACCTGGACAGAAGTTGGCTGTGTCGTTGGCATTGTTGTAGTCGTAGTCGCCAATACCTTCTCCGAGCTCTCCAGACAGCCTCTTCTGGCCTTCTTGACTCAACTAGAGGAAAGAAAAAACAAACATATCCTTCTTCACACAACACAAACAAAGGATCATCATATATTTACAGATATATGGTGACTGTAGCATGTCTCAATTTTGTGAAAAGTCAAATTTTGTGAAAAGCTGATGAGCACAAGAGTTATGTGTATGTTGATAACGTTGAGCTGAGTGGCGAAGACTCACCGAGCTGGAGGGTTTGAGGTTGAGCTGGGAGAGCGTCTCTGGGGGAAACTGGAAGTCCGCTGGCAGAGTGGTTTTCTTATTGCTTGCACTGAGGGCAGACTTGCTGTTGGTGGTGGCAGCCTGCAGTGGGAGAGCACACAATGTTCAGTTCAGATATATTTATATATGTTTCCTACACATTTTCAAGCTCTTAATTTGACCGTGTTCAGAATTTTTGGTTAGATTTCATCTGAAACCCCTACAGGCAGGGATGTCATCTTTTAGCTGAATATATTATTTGCAGATTTTGTGCCATATTTCACTGACTTTAACTACGAGAGCTAAAACTGTAGTTGCATCATATCTGTGGTGGAGTTATGTGTCAAGGCATCATTCAAGAGCCTGTGCTCAGAGAAGCAGACGTAGCCGTTCATGATGGATGATTTGAAACTACCAGAGAAGCTGAAATTCTAAGATGTTGTCAGGTCCATTTCACAATCTGGTTTCATAGCTACAACTATCCCTACATCTAATCAAACAAGCTGGACTAGTCAAACATCTCAACTGTACTTGGTTAAGTATTGATACTGGTTCACCAACAACTAAGACCAGATTTCCTGAATGTCAGGCTGAGACATAAAAGGCCGCCAGAGCTGGAAACACCAGCTGCATCCAAAATAGTGTGCTGCTATGACTAAAACACCAAGAGTTGCCAAACATCTGCCTAAAGGAAACAATATCCGCCTACCGGCACCTCTAAAGCTCCCTAATTAGCACGTTATATACGGTTTGTTGAATTGGTACAAAAAAATATGATAAATAGTGAGATTTTGTTGCTTTTGGACCGAGCCGCCGGCTGTTTCCCAGTTTCCAGGTTTTAAGCCAAGATAAGCCGGCTGCTGGCTCGAGTTTTATATTTACTGTACAGATAGAAGTGGTATGAATCAAACCCTTTAAAAAAAAGCATATTTCTCCACGTCGCACCATTCCTACTAAGCAATAAATGTCAGGCAGCATTTATACCAGATGACACTCTTTAACTGGGGGCAAAAAGCAAAGAGGGTTCCTACTCTCGTGGTGCGGAAGTAGGTGTCAAAGTTGACATCATCATTGAAGTCGATTTCAAAGGTCTTCTTGGGCTTCCTTTTACGCGTCTCCTTGTCCGGCAAATGGTCCACTGCAGCAGATTTAGGAGATGAAAGCAGACAGATGAGAGGGATCAATGTTGTTGCACACATTCAGCAGAGGAGGACAACCATTAGAACATCATCTGGGCCGTTAGAGGAGATGTGAAAGCCTAATTTATCCCTCAAAACACAAAAATAACCCTAATGTGGATACATGCAGTCTATTATGCTCAATATAATGATGCTACATTTATCAAATGAAATACAATAGGCAGACTATTGACCAAAAAAGAAACAAAGCTCCACATAAAGACAGCAAAATAAGACATTTATTGTTAAATTCTTTTAGCACTAGGTCACAGATAATAATTAACATGTCTTGCTCATGGGCACTTACTTTGACACCTCAATTGTCTCTAATTGTGTGTTTAAACCATGGTTTTCACTCACACTTGTGCTTTGGCTTGAACTGCCAGTAGCCGGGGCCAGCCCACGTGGCCATGGTCCTGGGGCTGAAGTAGGAATACTCCCTGGGCTGAGAGGACAGCTGCATACACATGGTGGTGATGTCTCCCTCTCCGATGGGAATCACATCCCTGTACCACCGTCACACCAGCATGAGAAACCATTCAAACCAGCGAGCACAGACACAAATCAGCCCTCTGCTAATAGAGCCGGCACGAGTGGGATGTTGACCCATTCAGCATGGCCTAATGAATTAAATACCTGGTGATAACAGGCAATGCAATTACTTAACCCCCATGAATACATTTCAAACTAGCAAGCTTAAGTAGACATTAAGCAGAGGCTATAGAACCTAGTTGAGGATTTTATCTTATTCTAACACAAGGAGCATTGAAATAGTGCAGAAAATAGAGCCATCTCTAGAAACTTGAGCCTGAGACTATTAAAAAAAAAAAAACTAAAAAAAAAAAAAACTTTAAACAGAAAAATAATTGAATCAGAAGGTCTGTGGTTAAATGGTGAGTTCCTCTCAGCAGAAGACTGCTCTTCAACCATCCACTGTCTTACCTCCCTTTGCCGGAGCCGGAGGCTTCACAACCGTCCTTGTACTCCTTGGATCTCTCCTCACAGTCACCCACTCCCTCCTCGTAGTCGGCATCAAAGTCAGGGCAGTCATCATCTTCAGGCTCGGGCTCAGCGTTCACATCAAACACGTGTTCCCCCTGCTTGATTTTCTCCAAGAGCTGATTCATGGTCTGGAAGAAAATGTACACTCTCCGTCAGCTGGGACCTGACTGTCTCTGTAAATAAGACTTGTGCAGTTGTTTTATGATCATATGGGTGTACGGTAGTGGATCCTAAGCCTAAATCGGTCATCACTTTAGTCTTCAGAGCATGTTGACATGCACATTTTGGTCTTTGTTAACAAACTTCTTTTAGGTCAACATAGCATGTCAGGGTCCCTGATTATATGTTCGCTCAATTTACCGATAGATCCACATCATACGGTCAAGCTGAGTGGATTTTAAAGAGCAGCCTCTGGTGGACCACAAGGCAAACTACAAAGAGCCCGTCACACTTATAGACTGTACATTTTGAGTTGAACAGGTCCCAACAATTAGAATATTTCATTTGAATTCCAAATTGATAGTGACAGCTATCGTATGTACTGAAACAAAGACGTTTCCAAAACTCGTTAAAAAGATGTACGCGTTGTAGCAATAGGTGGACATTGAAAGGCTGTTATTTTGATAATATAACTGGATCAAATATCCAGCTGTAGGTTTCTAACAAGATTTCTGCAGGGTTCACCAAGTTAATTTTAAGATGTTTTAAGATTTAGAATTATTTCTATATCACATTTTCAGTACTTAGCACTCAGTATTCTAAGGACATAATTAATTATATGGACGTGGATAAGCGGCATACATGGATGAATGGATAAACCAATGACAAATGATTAATTGTAGTCTTTGTTATTACGAGACGATGAGATTCCTAACTACTGTAACTAGTAGTAGAGACAGTATTTAACGGTCTGATGCTGCTGACTGAATTCTACAAAAAAGGATGGATTACCTCCTGCAGCACAATCCACTGACACAACAATCCAACTGTTAGATTATAGGTGTTTAACATCTCCTCATAGTCTGCAAATATTTACATGAACATTTTGGAAGCAGATATACATATAAACTGGTAACGTAAAGAGAATATAATAAAGGATCAAATGTTTCTGTATGGTTGGCACTGTTTTTTCCATCTCCAAGATGGCAAACTTTTAGGAGGAATTGATGGTTTTATTAGCAATAAATCTGAGAAATATGAAAGAATTCCATCAGAGCCATTTATGATATTAGGTTTGGTGGTTCGACAGGTTCTCTGACCTGCTCAGGGTTCCAGCTCGTGAAGGAGAAGTCCTGCAGCGAGGGGCAGATGGAGCTTTTCTCCTTGGAACGCTGCAGTCCAGCTGGCAGAAACAAATGACAGAAAGATGCTCAGAATGAACAGCCTCAACACCAATAACACAGATAGAAGCCTACAATTTTGCCTACTGACAAATCTAGACTGAACTGTACAATTCAAAGTCAAGTTTGTAAATGACATTTACATAAATTGTTTTTTTTTTTTTTTTTTTTTTTTACCAATGAAGGGGGATGCATGGACTGCCTGGGGAGGTGGAGGAGAGTATGATGGTGTGGACTGCAGGAGGGTCATGTAGGAGGGAAACAGCAGCTCGCAGCGACTGTTCTCACTGAAGAGAACCGACAGGAAGACTCCGGCCGTGCTGCTCTCATCGAAAGACGAGGCCATCCGCTGAAACATGGGGTCCACCTGGGTGGGTTAGAAGGAAAGTTGATCAAGTTCACAGCCATTGATAACGGTACTAAAAAGATCAAAAATACTTAATATGCTGAAACAGACTTCAAAGTGAAACGTCCTTTATTTATGGTAATGTATTTTTGATATCCGAGCAGGAGGATCAGTTGGGAATGGAAAGAGGCGGCTATCATCTTTAGATAAATATCTCACGGCTCTTAAGATGATAGCTCAGTGACCCGTGTAATATTTATCTCAGTCATCAACTTATCAGTGAAATACTCAGTGGATATAAGGCGATTATTATATTTTAATTAATGAAAGAATGATATTCTGTAACTGCAGGGTTGTTGCCTTGGCTTACACTTAAGTGTCCTTTGTACACGAGTGCATACGAAACTTAGAGAGTATAGACCTCAGAAGAAGATAAACTGCCACTCGTGATTTTTCTTGGGAATGTCGCCACAGACGCACTAATGCAAAGGTTTTCATCAGTGGGCTATATGATCAATCAACATTGTGTTACATCAGTCAGCTATAGACAGTGACTCAACAGACATGTATCAAAATGAAAATCTTCAGGATTATTTCTTGAACGGGAATTAAATGTAGTCCTGAGTTCCTCATAAGGTTCATGTGGATGGAGCAGCTTTCAAGCACATGAACTAATGAGATTTGTTTTAATTGAAATGCAATAGATTTAATGACACAGAAGATAGTAAATATCAATATAATTCTGCCCAACAGCACAGCTATCGTCCCGGGTGTCCATTGAACGAACACTGTTGTGTAAAGATAACACCATACCTCACACTTTCGCTCAGAATCCCCGCTATTGATGTTGCCAAGGTTCTGCTCTACTGTCCTCTTAGGAGGTCTCTTTCTCTTCGGCTGCTTGGCAGTCACTTCACCGTCATCTCCGTCCTCCTCCTTCGGACCATGGTCTGTATAATCACAAATAAAGAGAAATAAAGAGCAGACAACTTCAAATAATGGAACAATGTGGGTAGACCACAATTTACATTCTGTAGAACAAAGCTCAAAACCCTTCATCTAGTTCCAGTGTAATCAAATGAAAATCCAACAAGTATATTTATATTAAAAAAAATAAATAAATCACATCGCCGAGGCTCTCACCTTCTCCTGGTTTGGTCTCAGCCCCCAGGCCGCCCAGCACCCTGTAGGCATCAGCATGAACAGCATCCACCCTCACAGCATAGATCTTTGTACTGGCATCCAAAGTGCCAGCTGCCACCTATCAGAGGACAGACACACACACACAGAATAGTCAGATCATGTTTATTTACAGTATATAGCCCAATATCGCAAATTTGCCGAAAGGGGCAATGAAAACATCATACGCACTGCTGGTGAATGCTGATTATTCCACAGTACGGTTACCTTAAATCACTGAATATGAACCACTGCTCATATTTTCTTCACTCTATTCATATTTTTAATAATTACAACAATCCCTTCAGAGTTTTGTAACAGTATGTCTGCAGCTGTCATTAGGTCAACTCATTTATCAAAAAAGTAAACAGATTTTTCAGATAGACAGCTTAGTTTCAGACTTGAATGCGCTACTTCACTGGACTCTAGACCCTTAAAGGGTAACATAAAACCTCTTCATATATCCGCCCAGGCCATTTATGTAGATCACCATTTCTTCAAAGTAAATCACAGATTTAGAGAGAAAATCAATCCAAGATACATTTTTGTTGAGATGACTACAAAGTCTGTGTGTGATATATAAAAAAAACCTCAAACCTTGAAGTTTGTGAGCTCAGAATCCTTCTGTTTGAGAATATCAGCCATGTAATCAATCAGATGCAGACCAAATGCATTTTTAGTGGTGATTTTCTGCCAAAAAGAAGAACAAAATAATTTGATATTTTCTTTCAGGTTGTAAGACTCCACACACACACACACACACACACACACACACACACACACACACACAC